CGAGAGCTTTGGCCCCGCGCTGCGGAGCTTTGAAAGCCGCTGCGCTCTCCGTGATGGGGCACGCCGATCCTCCCACGCGTTGCGCTAATGTGACAACCAATCATCTCGTCAGCGTCCAAGTACCGATAATTACGTTCTCGTTTCTCGTTCTCCCCGCCGGCCCTGCTGGCGTTTTACCGTACCTACGCTATCGTCCTCGTCGCGTTTAACGCGCGAGCAATCTGCCATTGATTTCGGTGCTGTCGAAGGGAGCCTGTCTCGCAACGTTGGGTGTTCTTGCGACGACTTGCCGATTTGCTCGTAATCGAACGGCATGTAAAACTCGTCGTATCAACACGAGGTTACTCTTCGTGAGAAAGAGAAGAATTTCAGCGAGAGTCCTTTCCGTAATTGCAACGGTGCATCCTCCGACGTGAAGGAAGCGGACCGAACAATCAGGTTCTTCTCTCCTCGGAAATTGATTTAATTAGACATAACTTCGGGTAATTTCCATTAAGCTGATGATGATAATGCAGGTTGATGTTAGTAACAACACGAACATCAAGCGATATCCGACTGATGAAGCGATATCAGGCAAGAAAGCAAACAACGGTTTTCAGTCTTATAAATTGCATTTAGTATATGTGAGAAAAACATGTTAAAGAGTGTCAAGAAAGTTAATTAAGGTATAATTCGCGAGTAGTAAAACTTGAATAATAGAAGCGACGAAGATATTTTTTCCGGCTGAAGATGTGAAAGTTTCATATCGAAGAGTCCACTTCGTTTGCTTTTCGGTTTATTCCTTATTTTTTGTTTCTATTCTGATCTCCGGTTATTCCTTATCATACTTTTTCCCCGTCGTCTTCTGTATCTTCAGTTTCTTCTTTTTTTCTTTTTCAGCATTCGCTCGGCCGATCGACGATAATTCAATGACGGACGGACCGATTCCAATGTACGATCAATTCCAATGAGAATGGAGATACGGACGACGGAATACGAGTTATTGCCGAGAGAGCCCATCGTCGCCAATTCTTTGATAGTTAAATTACCTCGAAATAAGCGGTGCATATATAAATGGAGCGCAAAGGCTCGTTATTCCGTGCCTTCCAGCCGCAGGAGAGTACGCGATTGCCGTGCGCGATTCGAGATCGAGATCGGGTCGAGATTTGTCGCGTGTCCAGCTGTGTTTTCCTCGGGCACGAGCGCCCGTTCCTGATGCTCGTGTTGCATCCGAGTTTCATAATGATTATAAGGCGAAACCAGAACAGATGTTAATTGCCGAGTGATAAGCAGCGGGCTCGAAACCGGTGCCACTCGTATTAGAAAGCGTCCGTTATGATACGTCACCTTCTGACTAATTAACGACGCGCGCACTTTCCTACCAGCGCGCGTACGTCCTCGTGAAATAACCGGCGAAGCTCCTTCCGTCGTTTCCTTATTCGGTCTTCTTCATTTGATAGGTTTCTGATACATGTCGACTGCTCCTTCGCCACGAGCAGGAAAGCTCGTCTCTCAAATTCGACAACTCCTGCCTGGAGCGACGAGAAGCTTATTTTCAATTCGCCAAGTTGCACAAATTGACCCATTGTCGCGATAATGAAAAATAAGATTTAATAATGTGGAATAATGATCTTGATTCTCATCGATTAAAAATAAAGCTAGAAAATCTCCGGTGGCGTAGGTAATAAGACCAATTCTACTTGCGTTCGATTACAATAGCGAATTTGAACTTATTCGCGAAATTGTGAAGAATCCGCTCGGCCTCGTTCGACCTGCGTCTAGGGGCGGTACAAGAATAGCAAGAGGCAAGGCTATTCTATGTGTGCACAGCCGCGTGATTGCGCCACTAAAAGACAACTAGAGACGCGCACGAGGGAGGAAAAGGTCTCGGGAGTAGTAATTATTCGAAGGAAGCCACTCTATTCCCTATTGTTCTTGTTAACCGTTCCAGTCTTTAAGGCGAGTCGCTCCCTTTTTACGTCTCTTCTCTCCGCCGTTTATAGAGTCAAGCACCTCGTTAAACATGGATTATCCCGTATCTTTACGCGGCTCATCACGAGTGCGTAATATGCGCGACATATGCGCTGCATACGCGCGTCTCCCTCCGCGTCTCAACTCCGCAGATCGACACCGAAAACTACCTCCGGCGAAAGTAATCAGCGTTATTTGCTCGAACGTGCTTGTCAACTGACTGGACTAGACGAGGCTTGCGCAAAAAGAGATGGATGTGTATCGTTCGAAAAATACGAAAAATGCGAAAAAAATTGAAGAGTAAAACGATTCCCCGAAAATACCCCGATATTTCGGTAAAACTGTATTTCGGGAGATTGTCTCGGTATTAGATTTTCGATATTATGACTCTCGGAAAATTACTCCAATCTCTGAGTTTCGAGATTGTGAGTTTTTAATAGATCGCAAAGTCCAAGAGAATTACACGAATGTGTTTGTCGTGAAAAGTTCCTGGAAGTCTCAGATCTTTCCGCTTCCCTTATGGAAAGGCGACAAACGGCTTGAGAAGTCATCGATACATTATCGAGAGGGAAGATTGTTTTAATACACATACGTCGTAGCGTCACCAACATATCCGATAAGATATGTATATATCTATGTACAATATGTTGTTTAGGTACGTCACATGGCTCACGTTACGCATTTACGATTCATTGCTTGCTCATACGAAGCAAAATCTCGTTATAACATGTAGATCGCGCATCAATGAAGACAATGTCTCATTGCTGACGGAGGATCAGAAAGGACGCGAAATCAACTGGCAATTCGAGCAACTCCGTTTATCGATAACTCCAGCGCGTACGAGCGTTACAAGAATCGGCGTATTGGTAAATGTCGGATCCGGTTTCGTTCGAGCCGACTTGCCACGTTGTTGTACCCACCGCAAAAAAAAAAAAAAAGAGAGAGAGAAATTACGCAACATATTTATGAAATAATTACCGCGATGTGCGAGAGAAACTTAGAGTTATATAAACAACCGACTTATAAAGATACTCGTGGGCCACTTGTTTCTTTCTTTCTTCCTGTCTTTCTTTTTCTCTGCTTATCCCCACCTTCAAACGTATCAAGACGGATCGAGGATCGGTGTTCTTATCTTCCCGTTTCCACACAAGCAACAACTATCGTAAAAGAGAAGCTGATAGAAGATGATAAAACTGACAAGCGTAAAGTCGTTCGATATACGCAATCGCCGGTCTAAGAATGGATGTTATGGGCGTCAATTATCGCGATTTGTTTTATATTTTGATCTGATTTTATGTTCCTAACCGGAGCTGCTTATGCGGGTCTCAGCACGCGACACGTCGGTCGTATCATAACTTCGACGCTGACGGAAGATTAAAGATCTCGCACGTGACAGTTCGAGCTTTCTAAACGATTTAACTCATGCGTCGTGTATATATTCGTATATATACAGTGTAAGGCAGTAACCACTTTACTACCTCGCGTATTTCACAAAAATAACACACGAGTAACCTTCGGATATATGAAGCTACAAGCTAACAAAAGAGACTCGACTCGATTTTCCGTTGTAGGGAAACTAGGAACTAGAAACTAGACAAAAAGTCGATTGTAGAAACACAAAGATTCCTCTGTCAGTCGGATCAATTGTCATGCTCAGTCTTACTGAACCGCGTTACCTGCGAAGGCAGCCTAATATATTCAAACGAATGGTCCGACAGCGGTTTTGGTCTCCGGGACATTGCGTCCCGGAGAGAAAATGTATCGTAACTTGACAAGTGTGGAATCTCCTCTTGGAAAATTATAATATATCGAAATATGATCGCAATATGCGGCTTTTAAAGGGTGTCCCAAAATTCATGCAAGAAGTAATTTTGATAAAAAACACAGTTTTATAATTAAAAATTGTAAATTTTTTATTGATTCATAAAGTATACAGTATAGGGTTATATATGGAATAGCATATCGGGTAAATGGCCTCCACAGCTTTGCTGGCACATATGCACTCTTTTGTTGAAATTTTCCATGACTGTTTTGCATAAATGTGGCTGAATTTCGTTGATACAGCGCTCAATTTCCTCCTTCAAGGCGTGGGTGGTCGTGGGCTTGTTGGCATAAACCTTAGACTTCAAAAAATCCCAAAGAAAAAAGTCCAACGGCGTTAAATTGCATGATCTGATCACCAAAATGGGAAATTACACGACCAGGAAATGACTCATGCAGTAATTGAATTGTTTCTCGGGCTGTACGGCATGTGGCACCGTCTTGTTGAAACCACATGTCGTCCACATCCATATCTTGCAATTTAGGCACAAAAAAACTGGTTTATCATGTCGCGATAGCGAGCATCGTTAACTGTTATTGCCTGACCAGCCGCATCTTCGAAGAAGAATGGTGCCGATGGTGCCTCCAGCCCAAAATCCGCATTAAACAGTGACACGTTGTGGATGCATTTGTTTCTCAACAATCACTCGTGGATTTTCTGAACCCCAAATGCGACAATTTTGTCGATTAACCAAGCCATCAAGATGAAAATGGGCCTCATCGCTGAAGATGATTTTGTTCGAAAAATCAGCATCCACTTGTTGTTGTTCCATAATCCATTCAACGAACTCTCTTCGCTGTGGCCGTTTACCCAATATGTTATTCCATACATAACCCTATACTGTATACTTTATAAATCAATAAAAAATTTATAGTTTTTAATTATAAACCTGTGTTTTCTATCAAAATTACTTCTCGCGTGAATTTTGGGACACCCTTTACATTACGTATCATGACTCTCGGGAAATCTGTCCAGTTTCTGAATTTCGAGATTTCGCTTTCTCGGGACAATGCACATATCGATCCGCCATTCTGTTACACAAACTGAGATCTTCGTTCCAGAAAGAAAGTGTCACCGCCGCACGCCGTAAGAGACGCTTCTCTACCATGTAACTTCTGTTAGATGAACGTTTCTCCTACCCTCATGTATATTTCTAGCGTACTCCAGGTGATAATAGTTATTACCGCCTCAGCCTGCATTTATGCAATTTATTCGCGATGAAACTTACCAAGATGTCGGACTGATCGAGTTTGCCGATCAGGTTGGTGAACGAACTCCTGTCGGCGAAGAGCCAGATACCGACGGTCAACGCCGCTCCCCCGGCGATCTGCAAAGCACGAACTTAATGTTGTACGTCTCCGTTCTGCATCGCGGATCTCAAGGCTGCGGCAGAAGGAGGCGAGCCCGGTATTCCGCCCGGTGGCGGAGCGATTCGCGCGATCGAAAAGTTTCACCTGCGATCCTTCTTCGCGCCGCTTAGCGATCGCTTTACGATTCCCTCGATTCACCTTAAAGATACCGCGTGGCTTAACAACGCTGGCGAAATCATTCAACGGTATCTCGAGATCACCGGTAATTGCGAGAAAACTTTGGCAAGCCAGATTTTTGCCGAGATATTTATCTACGTATTTACGTTATGCAATGTGTATTCTCGAAAATCGAGCAGTTTATTTTACGGAAAAGGAGATACATCTCTGCGACGAGAGAGATGGAGATTGAGGAAGCAAAGGCGAGACCGGCTCGCACATCCGACGACTCGCGATTCATTCGAGGGCTGAAAAGTCGCGAGAATGGACCACCCTGAAAATCGTACAATTAACGTGCGAGTACCGTACGATTGCCGAGGTAAAGGTTCGAGGAGCGAGGTGCATTTACGCGATCGCGACTGGCCGGCTGGCTGGCTGGTTGCGCGTTTGATAAATTATCAGCCGCGCGATCGCGGCGCGATGCAGACACGGCGGGTTCCTTCGCGCTTCAAGTTGCTGTTACAAAGACCAACTATGTATACTCACGAAGAATACGAAGTTGAACAAGCAGAGGAAGTACTTGGCGCACTGCGAGACACAGCCCATTTTGCGGCGCGGTGATTCACCGATTGCGTCTGCAACAAATCGATACATTCGTTGATTACACACGGTTAAATATATAATGAAATTCCAATAATGTGTGTACACTACGTCCAATTAATAACCGCCGCTTATAATAACACTTGCGTCAACAGCGCAATTCCCAGATTCGTGAAGGATTTATATTTCGACCCATACCTCGCATGGTAAACGAAACGAGAGATCGTCATTGTTGTAGTTAAAAATGCGACAACGGCTTATGATAACATAAATTAATTCGATGCAGGCTTGTCAGATAAGGTGAGAAAAATTATCCAATTTTGAGGGATTCGTTATTTTGTCGCAAATAAAATAAGCACCGACCCATTTTTTAGTCACCTTTAACGAGGACCTCTTATTTTTCTTTCAACACTCGAACTTCGTCCAATTCCTCGTTTCGAGAAAGCGTCCTTCGGGTCGACTAATTGGTATTCGCGTCCGTGTGCTCGTATCGAACATGCACTTCAATGATTTACGCCTGATTTCGCGACAATATTAGGTGCCCGTCGACGACCGACTAATTAACGTAGGCGAACGCGCGAATGCAGACAGTATCGTCGTGTGACGTGGGCGGAAAACAAAGAGAAGAGAATTGTCCGAATTAGACCAGGGAGCATGTTGCCAATCAGTCTCAAGGATGAGACTGTCCTCCTGTTCGTGAGCGTAAACGGCACACTCGAACCGAGACGATTCGCAATTGACGGCCGGGCCTCGCGTAGCCGATTGTCCGAAGCGTAAATCGCGGGTCGGCAATTACGACAGGAATTTCTGTTCCTACGAACGAGTCCTCGTCTGGTCGGCAGGCAGTAGAAAATCCGGTTACACCCATGATGAAAGCACCGATGCCGGCATACGTGCCTAGCGCATGTTGGGCACTCTCTTGTTGTTTTGCCTTCTAAATTCAGATATTTAAACTTTCCATATGGCACGAATATACGTCTGTTTCATGCTGACAGTTGAAATATTCGTGTTTAAAGACCACAATGTTACAAGAATGGGTCCCGAGTCAGGTACGCGTCCCGGCACTGCTGCCTTCGCCTGAACGGAGTCGTGCTTTTTCCGCGCGCGCGCTCGACGCGGGATCGTCGACGACCGAGAGAAATCGTCGGCGACGATCCCGTCGATGCTCCAGAAGCGGGTCGAATAGAGATCGGCGACGCGGGAAGAACCACGGGAGAGCCTTGATCGAGCGACCCAGTATCGAATATCCAGATCACGGTTCTCGTTACATGCACGAGGACTCCGCTCTCATCCCCCCGCGCGACGTCTCACATCGTCTCGCGTTGCCTGGATGTGGCGGTATCGACTGCAACTACAGCAGACCACCGTCGCTGCTGCTGTTGCTGCTTGAGTTGCTGCTAATTTCCCGGCCTCGCGATCCTCGGTAGAAATCGAGCGAAAAATTTGCACACATTCTGGAGACGTTCCTCCCAGCCGGAATCAATGATCGTGCGAGAGCGACCGTTCGATCACAGTCTGCGACGTCCGAGTCGCTCGACCAGCTTGAATGGCGAGGAAAATGCCTGCGAAAGCAATGCAAGATAAACAGCTTCCGTTTGCTCGCTTCCTCCGCCATCGCCTTTCAATCGGAGCGACTCGAACTGTCGGAATCGCACGTCGTCCGGGCAATTCCAGCGGCAGTCGTTAACGCGACAGGTACGACTCGCCTGAGACTCGTTCAGCTTCGTCCCGCCGATGGGCGGGAGAGAGCGCTTTTCTTGGTATCTTGGGCGACAGGGGACGTTGGGAAAACCCAACGTAGAAGGCGAGAACGTTAGCTCTCTCTCTCTCTCTCACTCTCTCTCTCTCTCTCTCTCTCTCTCTCTCTCTCTCTCTCTCTCTCTCTCTCTCTCTCTCTCTCTCCCTCCCCTCCCTCTCTCTCTCTCTCTCTTTCTCTCTCTCTCTCTCTCTCTCTCCCTCTCGCAGGGCTCCCGCAGGGCTCCCACTTCTGGAAATCGATGACGACCATCCAGGACGAAGCATTCAGTACGCGCGGCCTGATACGGGAAGGAGTCAACGACACGCGGAAAATTGGATCACCCGATGGTGAGAGAGAGAGAGAGAGAGAGAGAGAGAGAGAGAGAGAGAGGGAGAGAGGAGGGGGAGAGGGGAAGGATAGGAAAGAGAGAGAGAGAGAGAGAGAGAGAGAGAGAGAGAGAGAGAGAGAGAGAGAGATGCTGGGTTCCAGGTCAGCGGGTCGACACGCTGCGTGCCGAATCGGGCTCGCACTTTTTCCTCCGTTTCTCTTTGTTTCGCAGTATCGCGAAAAGCCCGCTCTCTCACGTCAATCGGATGATTAAATGGGGTGCGAGGAAGCTGCCGTCTTCCTGGCATCTACGACGTTTGCTCAACGTCTTCGTCTCGGCGATGCATTCGTTACCGTCACACGCGGGGATGCTGTGTGAGGAACGTTAAACGAGTTAACGAGGAGCGATAACGAGGAACACGCGATGCAAATGTGAAGCTGCTATTCCGATGAATCTTCGGACAGTCGGTCGAGCCGAGCAGTTTAAATTTCCGACAAGCCGGAAGCTCGTCGAAAAGCTGAGTTAAATCACAGGTGCCGCGACCACCCTGGACCAGGTGGCAGTCAGCGTGTGAAGGGCTGGCTGGAGGGTAAAATTGGTGTATCGATTGGAGATCGACTGAAAACACATCGGGGAAGAACACGAGGCTTTCGCCCGGCTCGGCACGCAGCTCGAAATTAGGTCGCTCTTCAAACGCGAACGCGACTTGATCTTCGCCCATTTCCCATGGAATAGCGCGAACGATGGATCCGCGACGCCTTGTATAGACACAATCAATGCGTTGCTGCGCACAACCAGAGACACGCGACGCGCCATGAATGCCACGCGCGCGTTAAGCGTCTCTCGCTCCGTACTGGCGAACTACGTCGCGAGATTTCAAGGTAAATCTATTCCACCGTGCATACTAATGACCAGCGATAATGGCGTTGCGTGCGTATTACGATCGCAATTATTATCGGATTACGGCAGCGGCGATGCACGTGCGGACGTCGGGAGACCGCCGACCTGGTCGGAGAAAGATCCTAGGAGGACTTCTCGCTAAACGCAGCCTCGGTAAAAACGCAGCCTTATAGTCATCGCGAGAGATCGGCAACCGCGAATACGCTTCTGTGTATGCGTGTGTGACTGTCAACGATTCGTACGATTCACTACTCGTCGGTGGATCATCTCGGATGAATCATCTGTATCGGAGAGGGAAATGGGTCATGCAGAAGCCGCACACTTCCGCGACAATCGTCCATCGGGCGATGAAAATAACACCAGTCAATTCTATCTATGATTAATTTTTCCCAGAGCTTCCCGAACACTTCGTATACGGCGATAATACACTTGAAAATCGACTATCGTTGAAATATGGTATCGTCGCCGTGGAAGTAAATGGACATTTCCGAACGTACATATACATCGTACATATATATATATATATATATACATCGAAGACGTCACATCGCCTTGACGTTACGCGTAAGGAATATTATGGCATTCATGCGATACACGTTATTGATGGATCGTGGATTTAATCGACCTTTTAATGGCTTATTTTTACACCTCTTCTCCTCTCCTCTCCTCTCTCTCTCTCTCTCTCTCTCTCTCTCTCCCCCTCTTTTTCTTTTCCCTCTCGAAAAAAGATCGTCGTTAATGTCGAAACCGCGTGGATAAAAATGTCCGTTTCTCGCAAGTGCGATTATACGCGACAGGGCAGGTTTCTTTCGCGCTTGTTCCTTCTCCTTCCTCGGGTCCTCGCAAACTCTCGCGTGAGCGGTCGCTCGAAATAATAAATGAAACGACCGCGGTGTCTTTAAGAGCAGGCAACGGTATATGTTACGCGAAACGCGTGAGCGCGTTCATTCATGTGTTGCGCGCACGGTCGAAAAATCTCCTCTTCGTCGCGACGCCGCCACGGCTGGCCAACGTGCGCACTTTCACCGGTTTGCAACGCAACGAACGCACAACCGCACACTTGCTCGCGCTCTCCGCCGCGTGGTATCGATAAAAATCACGCGATTGCCCGATCGTAAGGATAATTTACGTAAGCACCGTAACCCGTTCCTTCTCCCGCTGCAGTAACAACTGGAACTAAATATTCGCGTATTAAATCGGCGACGCCGAGATACGCGTGTTCACGCGGTGTGCGAGTTAATATCACGTGTACATAATTCAACACACAGCGCGCGCTTCAGAACAGTGCGCTGAAAAACGGAAGATTAGAAAGATTAGAGCGGCAGCCGTTCTGCCCCCATCGTGACCTTTCTCGACTGGCGCTCGAAACGATGGAAAAATAAAAAATGGATCTCCGATGGCCGATTCGTCGCTTTTGATTCGTCAATCAGCGAGCGATATCGAAGAGGCAAGGTTCGCATTTCGCCCTTGTCCTCGCAGAGCCGAAAGCGCGGCGCGGGGAAGATGCGCGGGCGAGAGTCGATCGAGCAAAATTCTCACGAATATTACCGTGCTGAACGGGTGCGTGCGTAGGAGGTAAGGGTGTGCGGTTACGGTGCGGCTTCTCACGACACAATGACGGCGAATCATCGCAGCGTGCAATCAACGTGCGCGCGCGCGCACACACTTACGCGATATCGCGTGCACAGCTTGCTCCACGCTCACGACTTAACATAACTCCGTGCGTCCTGCGCGCATCGGGAGCGTTTAAAAAAGCTGCCCTTTGTTCGTAAATCACGACGCGCCAACGCGATCTCGAGATACGAGAGGCGTCTCAGCCCCGACTGTAACGCCAAACGCGCCTCCCGGCCCGGGAACGTACTCTGCTGTAGTTTCCTCCGAAACTCGAAATTACGCACGAGAGCCACGTAAAGTGCGAAACAAAGGAGAGGATGATTGCGACTTACGACGAGGGACTCGGCAAATTTTCAATCAATTCTTCCACAACGGTGTTACTCAAGCTAAAATAAAACGAGCTTGTTACCTTATTGCAGCGCTTTGAGCGTTAACACGTCAACTGATAGAACGTG